TTAGGCTTTTGTAATTACTGAGGAAAATCGAACGAAAGGCAATCCTGTCTGCGAAAGATTTGGAAAAAGAGGAACTAATACGGGACAGCAGGTAAGTAACAGGAGCGGATACTGCGCTAACCTCGCTGTCGGTAAAATATGTGATGCTCGAAATTAGAAGAAAATAGTGCCTCAGATATCAAAAGCTGATTTATTTTTGAGGAGTGGACTATGGGCCAGAGAAGGCTCGAGAATGGTTAATAGAGCAGGCCATTTTGAACTAAAACCTTGGTAGGTTTGGAAACTGCATACTGTAATTGCGGCGTGGACAACACAAGCGAACTCAATAATCCTTGACCTGTCACTTTCAAAATTTCTAAAACATTATTGCTTCTAATTATTCTAGTGCTTTCTTCATTCACTGGAGTGAGAGGGGGGAGGGGAGGGGGGAAGCGTGGAGCAGCAAAATAAAAATTTTCTTTCAGAAAAGGCTGTTTGAATCAACGTCAATTTGAAGTTTCTCTGGAATGAAGAGCACAAGGTTCCTTAGGAAAGGCTGGGACTAAGTTTCTGAAAGATTTAATTTATCTATAGAATCCTGGTGGGGACGGCTATAAGTAGTGTTAAGAAAGACGTTTTTCGCAGTAAGTAGTGGCAAAAACATGAACCTTTAGTTCTCATTTCATTCTCTCCGTATTAAACCTGCTTACAGATACAAAGACTGCGCTATTTTAACAATTTCAGGTTGACAAAAAAGATTTATTCATTATTGATGACTGATCGCCTCGCCATAATTTGTCAAGAATTTTGAAATTTTTGAGGAGGAAATTTGTGCTTTTTTGTCTGAACAAAATAATTCGGAATGATTTCCATAATGGCGCAAAAGGCACTGTGGATGACTAAGTTGATTATTGGCTGGCTTGAAATTTACTGGTAATCAAGTGCGTTTCAGTAGGAAACGTGATATTAATCAGTGGCGAGATAGGCCTCCCAAAAAGTATTACGTGACAGGGTTTTTCTTTAACAGACCTAAAGAAGAAGGGACGGAATGGACTTCAGCGTTTATCTGATCAAGATGCTACATCAAAAAGATTTGTATTACTAATTGGTCGTCCATTTCGGAGGGCTTAGCCTGTGGTAAATACCTTTTAAATTGAGAGTAAGAATCAGGACTGTGAGAGGATGTAAACTCCTGAAAAGTGAGGACAACGTGAATCTCCTTGCGGCTTCAGTTACAAAATTTTCAAATTTGCTAGTGTTTTAGCAGACTGGTATAGTTGCTCAAGATCGGGAACAGCTTTTTTGAAGATAGGAAGAACTAAGTTTGTAAAATGAGGTCTGATTTTCTTTCCTTCTAAAGTCAAGAATAATGAATGAAAAGTTAAGACAAAGGAAAAAAATTGAGTTGATCTTTTTGCTTGAATTTAAGTGTGTAGCAGTTAAAAAGCCATTAAGAGAGTTAAAGGAGTTGTTTTTACACTTGACTAACAAAATTTTTTTACAGTGAAATACGGACTCGAGTAGATTTAGAAGAAGAGTGGTTGAAAATGTGTTGACAAACTAAAACACGATTACAGAAACGCAGGTTTACAAGTGAAATGAATTCGCGATGGAAAAACAAGAACGACATGATGAAAGACGGTAAATTAAAGAGAAATTCATATTGAATTTCGGAACGTACGTTTTGAAATATTTTGGAAAGTGGCCGCTTTTAAGTTCCAATTACCAACAAAAACGCGTCAGACTTATTGCACTGGCGAAGTGTCAAAGTATTGTAGGAAAAAATAAATGTGAGGATGAATAAATTTAAGGTAACAAAGAAATAAAAGAGTAAGAATAAGTGTAAAATGTTTCAAAAAGCAACTAAACTCTCTTCAGCTAAACAACATCTACTTGTGATTGCGCATCGTTCAAAGAGCTCAGGTTGGTCTACGTTTCGTTATGAAGTAATCGTTGGAAATATTTTGAATCGAAAAAGTTATTAAAGATACTTTAATTTGAAGCATTCAAAGAACTGTTGTTACGGATTTGAGTCTAACTTATCAAGTGATGCATAGTGGTCGAAAATAAAGCTACCAGAAAAAACTGTTTAAAGTGTTGCAGAACACCAAATTCGAAATGAAGGTGTCAAACAGATAAAAAAGATTAATGAAGAAAAAATTTTTGGGCTGAAGTGTATAGAGAAAAGATCTCAACGGGTGACAGTTTAATGTATAACGAAATGTGCACTGGCATTGTATGCAACGGCACATCCCATTCTTTGCCAGTTTTCTGTCAGAGAAAAAGCAAATGGTGGCGAAAGAGCCGCCAGCTCTGTAGACACAACTAATGTCAACATTCTTTCAACGCGGTTAGAACAAATCCGATCTAACACAGAATCGTCAACAGTCCGGAGTTTAAACATTTCCAGCTATACGACAGCCACCTCAGTCGGCTAAACTGATGAGTTATCTTCTTTAATTACGTACAGAAAAGTTGCATGGTTTAGCTAACAGTTGTTATATAGGTCTGACAGCAGAGTGACATGTAATTTGAAGAGAGATGAAACGGACAGTCCAGAAACAGCAAATTTTCCATAGGAAATGTAGAATTTCACTAATTTCTGGTTTCGGAACTTTAAGTCATGATGTCCCCACTAAAAAACTATAAGTGCAACAAGGATCATACTCGCTACTTCATTAGTAATGATTGAACGCTTGTCGGTGAAAAAGACAAGGGAAGTAGGATAATGATATTTATCACAAAGCTACAAGAATATTGAAACAGCAAGGATTAGAAAAAACATCGGGTCCGTATGTTTGATTTATGCTTGAAATAAATCAAGTGGAAAGAGAATGGTTATTATACTTAGCGTACAGAACAAGAGGTGGAATAGTGAATGAGTTTGAGAGCAAGGATAAACAGTGACAAGGATGCAGTTTGATTGATTGCTCCAAAAAACTGAATGTTTGATTCTCAATTTAAACTCCAAAGCACCCGAAAAGAAACAGAAAAAAGATTTGCTTTCTTTCAGACTGAGATTTCTCAATGTATTTACCAAACTGTTAGTTAAAAAAGCAAATTTCTTCAATTCCCAAAAGATCTTCATGTGTGCTTCTGACACACAATTTTTGAAACTAATTAAAATAGTATTTTTTGGTATAGAAACAACAACGGAACAGGAGTTTAAAGTCAAGAAAGACTGATTAAATAAATCTAAAAAAAAAAATTTATTTTAATTTATTTTGTTTCATAGAAATTAGAGAGATAACTTTTTTTATGCACTCATAAATAAAAATATACGGGCTGAGAGAGTAAAATAAGATGAGTTAGATTGCAACTGTACAGATTTTTAGGCACAAAGACAAAGGTGATACCTCAGTTTAAGAAACTTTACGTACTAGATTGGCAAGTAAAAATATAATAACCAATGCGCTGAGCAATGAACTTTAGTTACCTGAAGGAAGCTTGAATGATTTAAGGACCGTGTCGAATCCTCTTCTGGTTTCGCTAACCGTTGCCTTCACGGATTCATTGCTTCCCAATCTGTACTCTTCAAATTTGCAAGTTACAGAGACCGAGGCTAATGACGGTTGAATCGTCTTTAAGACACTCTGAAAAGATAACTGTTTATGTAGAAAGTCAACTAAAAAAACCATGTTTACTCATATGCTGCCCTAAAGGTGATTCGAAAGCACAGCAACAAAAAACTTTTTTTTTGTTACAGGCGTTCACAGTCAGAATTTGACCAAACAGTGTTGAATAGCTCGGCTGTAACTGCTCAAAATATTGGAATTTCTGCTAAATTTATTTTGATAGATGTGCAAAATTCGTCCAGTAAAAAATTCCGCTATTTATTTGTAAATAGCTCTTTAACGTAAACTTTTTAACGAATTTCCCAACCTGCAATCAATCAGATTTTTTAAAAAAATTTAAAGTAACCACATTCAGCTTCTCAAATGAATCTTAATACCTGCTGCTCTAATAACGCAGCTGCTAAATTAAAGGTGTTTTTCGCTACTACTCAATCCTCAAATATTCAAAAAAGGATTTTAATCGCCTTTTACTTTATGTCATGATATCCACTATTTTTACTTCTCACCGTAACAGAATCATTTTCAAGCGAATTTAAGTATCGAAGATGTCACAAATTGCCATTAAGTGAAAAACATTGCTGCACTGATGTTGCCTAATCTGGAAAAATATTTTTTTGGTATCAAGATAAACAAAAAATAGCACTAATCATAGCTTCGCAGTGTACTGTGCAAGTTTACTGAACTGGTGGGAGACAGATATTTTACCAGCAACTCATGCAACTCCTTACGTAGGGTGTATAAAATATTAGTTAAAACAACTAAATTTAAATATAATATGAGCGAGCAAATTTCATTTAAAATAATCTTGCATCAAAAAAGTTTTTGTTCTTCAAGAATTTAGCCGCTTTTATTTGCTTAAACTTTCCAACTTTTTCACCACCAATACACAAGGTTGAACAGATCCCCATCATTCAAAAGGGTGTAACTCAGAGAAATCAACAGCCTTATCAGTACTATTGCTAATTGATCTTTTTTTCCTGAGGTTTCTCCATCTTCCATTACACAGAATTTAATAAGTACACTAGAGCAGTCTTAATTGTCTTCTTTGTTACTTAAGTCACACAACTACATTCTTGTAGTGGTCGAAACGTAATTCAGTGAACAAGAAAATGAGTAAAGTAATGAGGCTTTTAAGGAAACTATTTACAAACAAAAGACAAAAATTCTTATATTTGACTTCCTCACGCTTTTTAAAAAAAAAACGGATTCTTTGACTCCGATTTCAAAAATTCGGTTATTACAACCTCAAAACCAAAAATTTTATGGGAGCAGCCGATTCTGCATTCAATCTTAGTGAGAAGTTCTTGTACTTTTGCAAAAAAAAATCTGAGAAATTTAGCAGTGCGAAATCTGCCACTGTTGTCGCAGGCAAAAAAATAGTAAAAGCAAGCTTCTGACAAAAATTTTACTTCCCTATAACAGTTTTGTACCCATCCTAAAAAATTTATGACATCAATCAGCTTCCAACAAAAAAACATGAAAAAATCTCTACGTAAAATGAAAAATTTCTTGTTTTCACTTTCATTTTCTCACAGCATTTTGAAAAGTCACTTAATAAAAGTGAAGAAAGATTACATCTTCTTTGGTTTGACTTGAGGATACACTAAAAGAGTTTCTACAATCAACACTTAGTTATACTCAGCCAAAACCAATCTGTTTCAATAATAGCAATTCTTACGCAAACAGTTAGTTTCTCCAAGCCATTTCACTTCTTTGCTGAAAGAGCGCTTATCAGAAACTACCTCATCTTGTATATATAAACGTTCAACTTACACTTTGTCAGCAAAGAAGACAGCCTATCAATATTTCACATGCTGCAAGAACAGTCATGGAAATTCAGCCACTTTTCGATTATGTAAAAAAAAACGGATAAAGCAAAAATCCTTTACATGAAAAAACCAGAAATACGTCATAAATAAGCCCTTTTCATCACCTCAGAAACATTAGCACCTCGCAATTATCAAGTGACAAATATGACTATATTTGCAAAATACTAACTTCTGAGCAAAATACAGTCCCCGCAACCTCAACGGATTCTTCCTCTTCTACAGATAACATCGAAACTTCAACGTCTAAGCACTCGTCGAAAGCCTCTCCAGTAACAAACTCTATTTCCGCAAAGTCTGTCGAAAAAACGTCAACAACTGCATCTGTCTTAGACAGCTCTTCCCCAGCTTCAATATCCAAGTCAACCAGGACACCTAATAGTAAAACCAGTCGTTCAAAAAGAAATAGAACATAAAAACTATACAGAAATCAACAAGTTCCATCGATAAAAATCAATTTCTAAACGAACAGTCACAGTAGAGGACCCAAAAAAA